TTTCTTTCTCCAAACGATACAATTTTTATCTGAAACATTTTTGAATGCCGAATTTAGTTTTCGAGATATTCGGCTAGACTGTTTAAAATAGGAACACACTATACACGTTTGCGTATAGTGCGTACGTGTGTGTACAATATTGCTAATATCATCTCTGAGATAGATAAATATATATCTTTCAAAAATACATATTTTTATATTGACATAAACAAAACTTACACAATATCTATTATATATATGCAATTCAAATTCTATAGTTGTTCAAAACGTGTGCGATAACACATTGATGCTTTGCTAGCATGCATAGTTTGTTACATTCTTTTTTGTGATATATACTGAAAAAAACATTTTCTGAATCTGAGTAATTTTTTTTCTTGAATAGTTCCACTATGACTAGACTTTTCTTTACTGCAAGTAAACATTTATTAAATGTAAATATATATTACTTGTTACAAGTAGCTTGGATCTATTACTTGAAACTATTACTTGAACTATTCAAGAAATGAATTATTTAGATTTAAAAGACTTTTCAATAATACAAAATAATTATAACATTGCACAATTAAATATAATATTAAAATAATAAAATCAAATCTAGGGATGTGCGTTTTCAAAATTGTATATTGCGACTTCTTTAAAAATCGCAGTGATAAATCGATAAATATGATTTATTGCATCGCGGTTTTTATAGTATATTACAAGGTCGAAACATAGACCTTTGCACAACGCATAGTGTGTAAAACATAAAAAAATTAATTAATAAGAGTTTTTTATTTCTTGGAAAGGAAGGAACGAAGGATTTTGATTGTCCATTTTTTTATGCATTATGCGTTATGCACTCTGTGCTTTATACACTGCTCCCGTCCATACATTTGTTTAACTGCCCATTTTTGTCACACCAAAAATCTTTGATAAATTTATTTTTTAGTACAGTGGCTGAATAATAAATAATATTAATTTTAGAACGCAATAGAAATTAGAACGAAATTAGAACGAATTTAGAACGAAAATATTTGTTTTTCAGTGTAATAGTGAAAAATCTCTAAAATTCGAAATTTGTTTCAAAGAAAAAATCCTTCACGAAGTAGAAAAATATATCGTTTTTCTAATTAGGCGTCAATTGTTTACATAGTTTAAAAGAATTAAAGAACAAGTGTAGAATATTAATTGCCGGCGCGATTTTAAATCGCATGATTTCGCAATTAAACAATCAATTATTTACATAGGTCTCTACATAGATCTTACTATGGTTACATATCGCACTGCGATTCAAGAAAAGAAAATCAAGCCTGTAAGAGGTTGCCCGCCATTTTTGGAATTAACTTATTTTGAGAATTGTGTGCTGAATTGTATTATAGATTTGTGCTACATTGTGCCCGAATATTAAAAACAAAATATACGTTAGAAAATAAAAAAAAGCGAATTTTTAGATCCCCCTATTTTGCAATTTTTTCAATTTTTATGATTGTGATAAGTTGTGCTAATATTGTGCCAAAGTGAGACCTTTAAATAATGACAACAATAGAAGTTACATAAAAAAATAATTTTTGACAATTCGGAATAAAAATAACTTACATATATATCAATTACTCAAATACCATAAAATTGTATATCTGAGTTGTGCTAGCCTAGCACAAGTCAGCACAGCCTTCAAAATCTTCGGCACAACAGTATTAAGGGTAATAAAAAAGTCAATTAAAAACGGTTGTTGGTGCGCAAAGTTATTTATTTACCCAATTACTTACAAATTAATCCGTATGTGCGCACCAACAATTGCGTAGGCTCTTAACTCTTTACGACACAGCAAACAAAAATGGATTGAAATGAATTGAAATGGATTTAGATTTTCAGAAATATTGATTCACGAATGTTAAAATGAATGCTTTTCAATCCTGAATGCATTTTTATAGGAATTGCATGGAGCATATCTCTATGCCTTTCAATCTAAAAATAATATTAGCTTTTTCTGTGCATTGTGAATATTGTTCAATTTAAAATTTTGAATAGGAAATGCAGTTTTTCAATCCAATTGCATCCAATTGAATCCAATTGAATCCAAAAAAGTATTCGCTATTTAAAATACGCATTCGGATAGAAAAAAAATTCAATCCATTTTAATCTAGTCTCGTTTGTTCTTATTATTAACAAAATGTATTTTAAATAAATAAACTGGAAAAATTTTTGACAATAAATATGATTGTGACTAATTAACAATAGCTAATTAGCTGAAAATGAAGTCCAAGAGATTTTCGAGGTCGCTGATTACGAATTTGACCTCAGATTTTCGAAATTCAAAATGGCGGACAAAAAAATTAAAAAATTAGTTCTAGGGCTGTAAAATAGGGTCAAGTAGATTTTTTTAAGTCGCTCATTACGAATCTGAAGTCGAAATTTTTTAATTTTTTGTCCACCATCTTGGGATTCGACATCAATGACCCCAAAACCCCCGAGTAACAAATTTCAACTGAATTTACGTAAAGAAAAATGTTTTTTAATTGGCTTTTGTATTCTTCTTTAGCTGATTTATTCTCAGAACCTACATATTTTTAAGTTATAATATTAAGAGAACTTTGCTTATACGCGCGGCCTTTAGCGCTCGGATTCTTTATCCATAGTTCGGATTGTAATTATCTGATGAGAAGGGAATAATATGAATTATAATAGGTGAGGACATGGATCGATAAGTGAATAACACAAACATTTTTATTATTATTAAAAATTGACGTCAATTCACTTAAAATGCTCTTAATATCGTTGTGCCGAAGATTTTGAAGGTTGTGTTGATTTGTGCTAAGCTAATACAACTCAGATATACAATTTTATGATATTTGAATAACTGATATGTTAGTGTCATTTTTATTCCGAATTGCCAAAAATTATTTTTTTATCATAACTTCTATTGTCATTATATAAAGGTACCACTTTGGCACAGTATTAGCACAACCTTGGCACAATTATAAAAATTGAAATAAATGCAAAGTGGAGCCTAAAAAATCGTTTTTTTTTAATTTTTTAACGTATTTTTCATATTTTGACTGTAATATTCTTTGACTGTAATATATTGACTGTAATATTATAATAGTCATTAATGCCTAGCACAAATCTAGCACAATTCAGCACAATTTTCAAAATAAGTTAATTCCAAAAATAGTGTTAATTTTTTACAGATAAATCGGCCTGATAAATGGCAATACTTGTGATATATCAATAAAATTATTTGCACATCTCTAATTAAATCCCACATTTTCTCACGTTTTAATCAATTATAAATATAATAGAAGATACAAACATATTAGCTGCTGATATGCAAGTTTTATTTTTACTTGAAGTCTACAACAAGTAAATTGAATTCTTTATAAATCTATATATTATATTTTTTTAAGGTCGATAAACTTCGCCAACAAGCTGAAGAACAAGAATCAGTGCTGCGGAGTCAAGAAGAAGAGTTGAACTTCAAGAGACAAGAACTCGAAGGACTGCGACAAGAGGAGCAGCAATTAGAGCAGCAACAGAATAAAAATAGGGACCAGCTAAATGAGTTGACGAAGAAATTACAAAATACTCAGTTAGAAATCTGTCAAGCGAAGGCTAAAATTACTCATTTACAAGAACAGCAGCGTCAGATGAGTGATACAATTGCACTTTATGATTCTGCACTCGCTGCAGGAGACGTCAATCTTGTACCTGATACTAGTCTACAGTTCATACCCGAGATTGAAGATATAGAGTGCGTATTATATTTTATTTAAAACAAATCTTTCTCAATCAGAATTATAATGATATTTTTATATATATGTAAAAAAAAATAGATATAACTAGAGATTAAAAGGACCAAATTTTACGATAATTTATTTGGTAAATTATGATAAATTAATCAGTAATTTTTAACTAAAATGGTAATTTAGAATAAATAAAAATAAAATAATTTGATGTAAAAGCATTTAACCTTTAGTTAAATTTAAAATACTTCATTTGACTCATATTTTCATTTTGATATTACATATTGGTATACAATATAATATATAATATTGTATATCAATATGTAATATTATTCCTTTTAATTATTATATATTGACAACTATTATACATGACAATTAAAAGACTTGGTACATAGTCTAAACTAAAGAAACTTCAAATAAATTTTTTTGTTAGAATTCTGAAAAAATGTAACAGTACAGTAATCTTATTTTACACATATTTTAATCTTTTTATTTATATTTTTATATTATATTTTTTACTTTACAATTAAACTTATAAAACTTTTTATTTGCTTACTATTTTAGCGACTGTTAAAGTTTTTTAAAGTAAAAACAAAGATAATTACACATAAAAAATAAAACAATATTTCTGTAATTGTACTACTGCCGGAATATCTAAATAGAAATATAGAATAATTAACTAATTCAATAAAAGAGAGAGAGAGAGAGAGCTAAATTTCAAAATATAAAACAAGATATTATGTAAAAAATACTGGGATTTTTATAATCTGCATCGCTTTCTATTTTTTGATCACTATTAAATCTCTAGGGAATCAGCATCGATTAGATTTTACGTTTAGATTTAGTGAACAATTCTATTATTATTTTATCAGCGATTTATATTCTCGATGAGAATATTAGAAGAATATTGTTTTATATTATTTACATTATTATATTATTTATATTATTTACATTAATGTGAAAAACATAAATAAAAAAACTTATTTGTGCATAAAACTAAAAAAAAAAAATAAATTTTATCAAAATTACTAATAAATTACCATTTTACCATAATTTTACGTAAGTAATTGTTAAATTGAATTTGACTTGATTGTTAAATTGAATTGATTTAATTTTATATCTCTAGATATGAAACAACTAAAAGTGAAGGTGAAACGAATGAAATGAAAACAGATATAACTAGCACTTTAAACGGATTTGGGGATCAAGATCCTTTTGCATTGAATAAAGCCAAAGAAACATTTAACGCACCGATATCCGATCCGTTTGGAAGCGCGTTTTCTGCGCAGCAATCTAATGTAAGTTTTTTCTACGATTATGTCCACGTATCTTTCACTCTTTGCTCTCATGCCTTTTACATTTTCTCTTGTGATATTCTGTTGTTATTTTGCAAATGTATCCATGTAACAATACGTAGACGGACAAATAGAATAGAAAATATGGTTACGTCATACAAACGTGAAATAATAGAAGTATAATGTAAGAACAAAAACGATAGAGGAAAGTGAAGCTGGCAGTAGAACTGCATTCTGGTTCTTACATGATGCGTATAATGCATCACTTATCTTTGTTTGATATTTGTTGAATAACAAGAATAAATGATGCATCATGCGTATCATGCATAATGCACCTAGAAAATGTTGAACTTTAATATTTGACTATAACAATGTAACTTATGGATGATATTTATTCATATTTTATTCTGTAAGCATAGTAAGCACTAGATAATAAAAAAACCATCCCATAGAATTTTACAGCAGATCCTTTTACTGCGTTCGATAATACCAATATGATGGTAAAGCAAGATCCTTTTGATCCATTTGGTAATGGAAAGCGAGCTGAGAATAAAACATCTACAACTACATTGGTATGTAAAATTTTATTTAAACATTTCAAATCTCCATATTAACACATTTGAATGAAGCAAAATCTTATTCTCAACACTTTTCAGTTCATATTTTTAATTTTTAATCAATGACAAAGGCTAATATTGTAGTAATGAAGTTGAGAAATAGCGTAGAAAAGTAATAATTATTAGTTTTAAGAATATGGATATTTTATTATGCTTAATATATTTTATGCTTTATTGAAACATTAAATAAAATGCCGACAAGACTGATGGTTTTCTGTTAAGAACGCAAAAGATCCGTTTGGAGAAGATCCATTTGCCAATCTTCATGCTCCTCCTCGTCCCGAGAGCCCTAGTCCCGCTCTTCCGCCAAAGAAAGCAAAGCAACCACCGCCACGTCCAGCTCCACCTCGACCGAGTCAAGGTCCTACTGGGCCATTGAGAGCAGCACCTGCACCTCCAACGCCTTCACCAACTCCAGATCCATTTGTGAATGCAAATTCAGATCCATTTAGCGCTCAACAAACAATCGATAACAATAATAGTTTTACATCTTCCGGATTCGCCGACTTTACCAATTTTGATTCTAAGGTACGTATTTAATAGTATTCTTTATTTTAAGTAGCTTTTATAATTTTTTTCTTTTGTGTTATTTTCTTTTAATGGCGCCCCTTTAATAACACTGTCTGACAAAATATGACATTTTTTTTGCAGTACCGGTATGAATAGTCATTTTTGATGTATTTTTGTTTGTAGAATAGGACTCTGTTGGCCAAATTTAGCTATTATTACGTCACAATTTTTTGGGAAAAATATAACTAAAGATGCCAAAAATGATGATTTTTGAGAGTTATTATGACATAATATACAATATATATATATATATACACACAGGAGATATATATGGTATATATATATATATATATATACACAGGATATCTCACACTATCGCCCTTTCCTTTTTATTTTTGAGATAATTTTGAGATGAAAATCTCTCTCTTAATACAAAAATGTAGAAGTTACAATAGTTTTTGTATTATAATTGGTTGAAGATAATATATAATTCGACAATTATGATATTATAGCTTCGATATTTTTGTATTAGAATTTTCGTTTTAAAATGTTCAAAAGAATTCAGGAATAATAATAGAAGTTATAAAAATAAAATGGTTTTTGACTTATTACTCTAAGTATTTAGAGTTATAATTCAAAAAAGTATTGTAATCTCGATATTTTCATATCAAGATTTTTATCTCAAAATTATCTCAAAAATATGCCCTTAAGAAGAAATGTGATAGTGTGAGACACTGCGTGCGTGCGTGTTGCGTGCGTGTGTGCGTGCGTGTGTGTGTGTGTGTGTGTGTGTGTGTGTGTGTGTGTGTGTGTGTGTGTGTGTGTGTGTGTGTGTGTGTGTGTGTGTGTAATATCGAACAGTAATTTTTTTCTAAATTTCATTAAAGCTACGTAAAAAATATCAATTTTTACTTTTAAAATGCATTTTGTTTCATTTTGGTAAGATTTGTCGTTTTCGAGATATAGCAATTTAAAAATAACTCTTTTTCTATGAAACATACAGGAGAGGCATTTTGTTTTATCTTAATACTGTATTGTGTAAGTATTTTTGTATTAGGTTGTTTGAAAGTTATTTCAAATTTTCTAATGTAAGTTCAGGATATAATATTTTATTCAAAAAGTACTTTATTGAAGCAAAAGTACTGTTTTATTCAATGACTGTAGCTCTTTTGATTGATAACTACGTAATGTCTTTGTTCCAAAACAAAGATTTCTTATTAATTGAGAAAAGGACAGCACTACAATAGAATCTCTCTAAATTTGACTTCTGTAATCTTTGCATTCCTCCGTACTTTTACAAACACTAAAGTGTGCCTCTTCTATACCCTGAATGTCATGATATCATGAGCTGGACATATATTGCGCGCACATCTGCACTTAAGTACTAAGTTTTCACAGTGTATGCTATGTAATTCCATAAGGTTATGTATAACTATTTGTGTAATGTATTCTTTTGTGATACATAATATGTGATACATATGTACATATGACTTGTCCTGCTAAGGTTATGTACACTATAGTGCACTTTGACAGATTAGTGTACGTAAAGCTAATCACACTTTCCGTACAGTAACAGTAAGGTTTTCGACCAATCGCGTTGCTCGATTCTTACGGTCGACCGAATCGAATAACGCGATTAGTCAAAAACCTTATTATCACTGTTAGAAAATGTGTGTAACTAGGCTTAACTGCATTCGCGCAAGTACGTGATGATTAGTAGATTCGTATTGTAGAGCGAATACTCTAATAATTTTGGCATTCCACTCTTATCGCCCCATAAGGAGCGATCAAATTTAGAGAGAGTCTACTGTAATACAAGAGTACAGATAAAATATATATTTAGTGCTATATAGAATAGGGCATTACTCATTGAATCTATCTTTCAATAAATGTCTAGCATTTATTCTTCTCGATGTTCGATTACCAATAAGTCAGTTATAATCTCGCAGAGTGCCAAATCTCGATTTTAATGAAACTTTATATAGGTACATAATATTTAGGAAATAAATAAAGTTAGAAATAAAGTTAGAAATTATTAGTTATGGTGTTCAAAAATAATTGTAAGGGATAAAAAAGATGCAGAACAATTTTTCGTTATTTATATCTCAAAAATCTATTCGAAGTATCAAAAAATGTTTTATATTTAAGTATTTTATAATAAAAATACTTCTATTTAATCACGTCAATAACATTAAAAAAAAATTATTATTTTCAAAAATTCATTCCTTTACACTCTATATGTGAAAAAATATTATATATGGTAGGACCGATGAAATATCTCGAAAACAAGATATTTGAGGAAAAAATATCTCAAGAATTGTAATTGTTGATTTTAATAAATGCATCAAAATTTTTAATTTTGAGCGCAAATGTGAAGGATCTGTGAAAATAAAAAAATCTAAAATTTTTAATGGAAATGCCTACTTTCCATTAAATATTTTTGTAGTTAACATCAAGATTTTTTTATAACTCTTGAATATTGTTTTCAGGTTCATGACTTTGATAACATATATCAAGTTTAAAATCATTGAGATTGTTATCCTTATTTTCATTTTTACGTAAATATTTTCCTACATTTATGTAGAGAACGTTATTTAAATATAGATGCAACACGATGATGCTTTATGTTATAATATTAAATCTTTTTATTGAAAAATGAATTAAAAAATGATCCTTTTTTTAAATAAATGGTTAATGAAAAAAAATGAAGAAGATACTTCATAGATACTCTATATAGGATATCTGACATTAGGTAGAATACTGCTTATGAACAAAGAAAAAACGGACTGAAAAAGTCTGACTCAGTCAAAAATATTTTCCAATTTTAACAGTAGTTAACGAGAAATTAATTAATTATTAAAGATTGTTGAATGAACGCATATTCATCTACCTCTAAATACAAACACGGCGAGATACGACCGCCTAATGCGGGAAGATTTTTCCCTTTCTGGCCGTTTTGTGTTGCCATTGCAGTTTATAATAAATAATTCCCCATGCGCTTAGCAATCTACGTTGGCAGATTAAGAAGCTGAGCGAATACTATACGTGTTTATTCAACGAATTAAAATTAACTAAAGTATCTAAAGGCTTAGAGAATTAAAAATAAGAATTAGTAACAGCGCAATGAGCTAGATGTATGTGCGTAAAATTAAAATTTATCTATTGAAAAACTCAAATTATGAAATTAAAATCTTAAATGTAATGTATGATTTAATTCTTAAATCTTAAATGGTTCACATTTATTGTTAGTAAGTGAAAAAATTTACAAGAAGTGTGTAAATGACATCTCGTATAAATAAAAAATTATTTTAACAATTTTGTTTTCAAATAAAGTTCTACAGATGTTCAACAATGCCGTGTCCAATTCATGCTGCTTGGAAATTCAGAACGTTCAACAAAAGTGCAATGGTTCATGGTTAAGACGGAATCTCAAAATTTATTTATCAAAGAATAAATGGATTGTAAGATAAGATGACCTGGAAATTGTTACACAAAATATGAATCGAAAGGAAACATAGCTTGTGTCAGTATAATTAATTTAGTAATTAATTCTCGTTAATTATTACGAAAATTGCAAAATGGTGTTATAGGACTTTCCGACCTAATTGAGTTTTCATAAGCGAGCGATATTTCTGTCTAACGTTAGACGTCTTGTATATCAAATTTGCCATCGATAGATTATTACTTATAAAAATACACGTTAAAAATCGTATTGTGCCAACTATTCTTACAATGAAGGAAAATATGAAAAATAGAATTTAATAAGCCTATTCTAAATTATAAAAAAAACAATTGACCGCAGTTTGTTGATCCTTTATGTGTAGGCAAAAATATTTAGAAAAAAAAGATTAATATTTCATATATCTAAATAATATACAACAAAGATGTATTTGAAACAGAGGGGGAGAGAGAGAGAGAGAGAGAGAGAGAGAGAGAGAGAGAGAGAGAGAGAGAGAATCCAATTATGCACTTCTTTATATATTTTAAATTTAGATAATGTCAGTGGTGCTATTATTTTCATAATTCATAAAAAATTCTTCATGAAAAGATTTTGTTTTGCTTTTAAGAATTTTTTTTAAAACATCTCACAATCAATATTTCAAAAAAATATGCAAGAAAAATAAGAAAAAAGTTTACTTAAAAAATTCAAAGCTTTAACAATAACATCCTAAGTCTCATATATATATATATATATATTAGACTGACAAGAAAACAAATTTTTTTTTAATCGGCCTCTCAAAAGCTTCATGTCAAAAGAATACCTCTAAATTTTTATTTAAAAATATTAAGATTTAGAGATCGCTAGTGAGCG